TGACCCTACGGCATATACCGTCGACAATTAGACAACCTCAAATTCTTAGATAGATTTGTCGTTATATGAACTGTGTTCACCCTATTGCGTTTCAGGTTATGTTATGTCTCAAAATCCTACTCAAAATCAAAGATTGTTTATTGTCATCCAACAATCCAAGTGAGACCGATAGCAAATATTCATACAAAGTAGATTGAAGCAATATCACTTCATCAAGTTCCAGCCACTCTAGATCACAAAAGTGGAAGTTGAATCTTCAAATCACGATATGGGTATGCCTCACGCTTCCATTGAATTTCACTCAACCAAGATGGTGTGGCCTTTTGTTTGGTCACAGTCTCTTTTAGCTGTATAGTGTTGGTTTGGCCTCGGGGCAATAAGGAGACCTTGTGATACGAACCTAGTCCTGCGTCCTCTGCCGCAAATAGTCATTATGATTTTCAGAATCGGACCGTGACTTGGTACATTCACAGATCTTGCACCGACATCGTAGTCGGCATCGTCACTTGGAGGTGCCAAACTTAGCACCAATTTGCAACTTGTCTAATTGACAACAAATGGGGCGAGGAGTGATGTGACAACTGTTGAACAGAGACACTGACACTGATAAATTGCATCTCTGTGCTAATGATGGCGCCTATCACCGACGATAAGGGCCACGATGTCGGTGCAATATCTGAGAATGTACCAATTCACGGGCCGAAGTTGAAAATCATAATAACGCAGGACTAGGTACGTTCAACAAGGTCTCCCTTTTGCCCAGACCAAGTTGTGAAAGCAAAGTCACACCTAAACTTCACATAAACTTGCGCTCCAAAAGGTAGTCTTCTCCAGGCAGGAGTGGACTGGACAGCAGTTTCAATTTCGCCAACAGTCCCAGTGCGGGACTCGAACTCGGATAATCTTCAAACTTACTGCCTGTGAATAAAAGTATCGTAGTTGACCCGACACAATTTCGCCACATCAGCAATCCCCCTACCAACATGTGACTTGTGAGAGGCCTAGTCACTCGTGGTTGTGAAGTGTTCGGATTTTACGCCGCACCACCCGGTTTCGAGTCCTGATGAGGTTGCTAATGAAACTTAGGCAAAGTCAAGACAAGACTTCAGTCGAAGCTGGTTCAATTGGGATGAGAATACCTTCTGAGAAGCAAGATCAAGTGAAATTCAATGAGAACGTGAGGCCCACTCATGGCATTGCTGGAAAATTCACCTATAACTATCACACTTGGTTTTTGCCAGTACAATAGATCATATTACTTATATTTATTTTAAGTAGTTTCCAATAATTATAACCATGTTGTCCTATAGTAACCCTTACATAATATTTTGTTATTGTCAAGACTTGTCATCCTGTGGCCTACTCGTATCAATGTAGGAAAATTCAACTATCACTCTTTTATATTTATATGCGAACTGGGACGGCCAGAACTATTGTTAGAGTCAGGTACTCTTGAACTGATGTAACTTCTCAAGCAAATCCACGACTTGGGGAGTTGGAAAGAGTTCAATGAAATGGCTGCAAGCAATTGTGAAGGCGAGCTTTCGAAGGATTCAAGCGTCGAACCGGGAACTCTACCCGACTGTCCTGTCTGGCTGCCTTGGCTGCACGAGCCGGGCATTACTGAAAACCGGCTTCCACGCCCTAGGGACGGCTGCTAGTTGGAACGACATACCCACCCAGCCTCTGTTGTCGCTGTTGCTGTGTGAGCTGGGCGAGGTGTGTCAAAGGGAATTAGGCAAACTGTCAATAAAACGTCAGGACGAGCAGCTGACGCAATGGCAGTGTTAATAAAGGAGAAAAAAGACTACATTTATTTGCTCGCTTCAAACGCCTGACTGGCCCACAGAGAATATGGCCTCCCTTCAGGCGAATTCGGGTGTCCACCGTCATGAAATACATCTTCAAGTATATGATCTATCCATCCATTCATTTAGTTATTTGTTTATTCATTCATTCATCCATCCATCCATCTCATTGTTCCACAACCGTGCATCTATCAGCCCTTACACAAATAGCAGAATAAATTTAATTGAAGTCTGTATGGCCGGGAGTCTGGCTCTGCCGGTCAAATCTTATAGCATGCCCTACTGAGTCATTGTCGTGGTCATAACGCCCATTTATCCATCTCTCTTTTGGTTCACCGACAAAGCGATAACACATTCATTTGCACTGCTGTATTGGCAAATCTCCATTTCTCGGCAGTCCAGATTTATATTCGTAAGTTAGTAGGGTTTCGAGACTACTACATCTCATTAGTCCAGATTTAGTCATTTCTCTCATTTAACTTATGCCCATTCTTCATTGGCCAGGCTCCAATTCGTAAGTTCTGCAATGCTGCAGGGAAAGGCGAGACAGACAGTCTTTTTACTTTGATGCCTAAGCCATGACCGTCAATTTAGTCGACAAGGCTCTCAAGATTTTCAGTTTATGTGAAAAGTAGGCCTGAAGGGAATTGTGAAATGACCCCACTCGAAGCTCGGGCAAGTGTGTTTTGTTGATCCTAATCCTGTTCGGCCCATCCGGGCAAGCATCGTCACACTCCTTCTAGACTGCATACTAATGAGTCGTGGGCTTACTACACTTTGTTTGACATCCTGAATTGACCATAATCTCTATTTCAACTGACTACTCAAACCGTACATCTTTCCATGCAGTTTTATGTCAAGACTACTCCTGCATTTGTCGCCATCACATGAGACAGAAACATGTAAAACTTCCTGATCCAGTGATAAAGTCCCCCCTTATTTAAGACAAATCGGCCGTGTATGAAGAGAAGCTAGTTTCGAATAAATTTTTTGTAGATTGATGCTGGCATTCCTTTTAATTCGTCTGAGAAGGCGGGTGGATGAGATTCGTAAACTGGCCTCACCGGGATACCATTCGCCTTCACAAATGAGGTGAAAGATATGCCAGTATAAATCAGCTGTGGGCCTTATTTTTAGCATTATAAAACGATCATCACTTAATTCCAAATAAGCTTTAGTACGGACTTACATCTTTCTTAATATCCTCATTTACTTGCCCCAATTATTTAAATGGGACAGAAAAAGACATCTTATTATTGATGAGTTTATACTCTCTCAATACTTGTGATTTTTAAAAAGTTGAAAATTAAACCTTAATTGAAATGGTGTTCTAGACAATTCCCTCATCAGCTTGACTCCTTCTATGCCTAATAGAACAATCGAAAAGGAAATTTGACGTCATCCCCTTACTTGGAGTTTAATTTAATGGCCCTTTAAGTCCATGCATAACCTTAACGAATTTCTTCGGACTCGTTTGCCATTCTGCAAACGGCAAAGAACACGATATTTCCTAAACATGCTCACTACCTACAAATGCAAATCAGTAGCCAATATAATTGATAAATAGAAACGAATGTTGAGAGTTGATATTGGCAGGCTAAATACTAAACCAAATGTAAATTTACTCACTTATTATGTCAACTTTTGTGTTTTAATAGGGCAACCCATAAGTTGTTTATCCAATTCAATGATTAGATGCAAGGAGTGATTAGGCTTGCGGTCGGTCACCATTCCTCTTGGTTTAGTATCTTCGTGCGTTTTTTGGCAGTCTGGTTTCTCGCTTTGACAATATATGTCACATGAAAGGCGAAAGCTCAGCACGGGTTGATCGGGCCTGCAAGTCCATGAGCCTAACAGTTTTTCGTACAATCCAGCCTTCTTCACTCCAAGATAATCTTTCTCCGCTTTCCCATAAGTACCATTTACAAACCCTTCCAACCGATTTCTCATTCGGACTGAAATGTTTTGTCACAATAACTCACCAAGGAATGCTTTGGAAATAAATTTTGTTGAACATATGGGAGGATAGGGCTAAAAGTGAATATAATTTAAAAGCAACAAATAATGGTGGTAGAAAATTAAGACAATGCGATCCATACAACTGATAAGGGGAGCTGTGAAAGATACAAACAGAAAAAGTATAGGCAATTCAATTCTCTTTGTTCAGATTGACTTACATTTTCTGGCAACGTCTCGCATTTCATCTGCCCAGGCCACTCAAACCCGAGATTTCTCATGGTTGGCAGACACCCCGACCTGGCGGCCATACAAAGTGAACGACAAGGCGGCACATGTTGCGTCCAGTTGACCACACAGACTGGCGCATGCATGGAGCAGAGAAAGAGAAGGAGATGATCGTAGCAACGAAGTGACAGAAGCACGAGATAGGAGCGAAGCTGAACGTCCAAAGAGACGACCAAACAGGCGGGAAGAGGTCAGAATCGTAGGGATGTTTGCGGGTTCACCCACATGTTTGTGTGTGCGTGTGTGTGTGAGAGAGAGAGTGTGTGTGCGAATTTGATTGTGAGTGCATATCGATGTGAGAAGATGAGAAATTGCGGAATAAAGTAATTGATGATTTGTGGAGGGGTAAGGAGGTCGAGAGAAACAGAA